GCCAATCTTATATATATATTCTTTAACTTCCCTGGGCTTCTTTATCCCTATCTATAAAATGATGATGCTGTAATGGTACTACTTTCAAAGATTATTGAAGAATAAATGAATTGTTACATGTAACATGTAAAATAATGCTTGGCCTATAGTAAGGGCTAAGGAAACATAAGCTGTTGTCATTCTTTTAGCATTAAGTACCTACTATGTGTCAGAACTATACTAGACACCACTAGTATACAGGTGAGGTTCTGCAGGAAGACAGACACAAAAACAAGGCTTCTTTTATCTCTGCCTGCCCTTTATTGACTTAATGCTTAGGAGATGAGGCACTAGTACAGAATAAGTATTACTGCAGTGCATGGCAGATATAACTGACAAGTGAGCAGAAGAAGATGTAGAAGAACCAGAAATGTAATAGAACAGTAATTGAGATCAGCCTTTTGTCTATTATGAACTAGGCCAAAACAGGTGATAATGTAGCTCAGATTAAATACCCAGAAATTGAACCTCTTTGGACTTAGTAAAAGAATTACCAACAGAATAACAGCCTAAGAAAAGTTTATAAAACTGCCATAATATTCTGGTCAGCAACCATTTAGCTGCCTGATGCACTCAATAAAAGAGCAGGCTTACTATGTCCCATCTAACAGATTTTGCAGAAACCTATCACAGTGCAAGTACCCCCACCACACACACACGCATTTGGTGCAAAAAGAAAATGCTAATATGGAAAGCAAGGAACAAAAAGGGAGGCTGGTTTGAATCCCAGCTGAGTTATTAAACTTCCTGCTCCATGGTGTCTGTATCTATGAAGTGGAGTCCTTTTAGCACCTAGTTCACAAGGCTCAGTGAAATCATGCATAATAAGTCCAGGTTCCAGCACTGAGCCTGTCCAGCCATCACACCGTAACAGTTTGGTTTTTTACTGCTTTAACTTGCTGTGCACTAGCTAAACACACCTGCCTCCCTCAACTACCCACATGTCTGTCTGTCTCTCTCCATAAATACGTATGTGCTTATGTATGTTTTGTATACAAGTTACATATTTATAGTTATACAAGTAATCCATGTTGATTTTAGAAAAATAAGAAGATAAATAACAAAAATATGAAAAATCACTCATAATTCCATCACCAAGAATAACCAGTGTTTTTCCACGTCTCCCTCTGGTCTTTATAAATTACTGGGCCTATGTAAATGTAAATGTAAATGTCTGTGTAGATAGATACATAATTACATATACAGGATACGAATGTACATTCTGTCTAGTAGAAGTTTTTCTGCTCAGGAATATTTCATATCAATAAATATAAAATGTACATTACCACTTGAAATTACTATGTGATATTCTAAGTAAATTCCATAATTTATTTTGACAATTCCATACTGTTGCAAATTTAAACTGTAATCAAGTTTTCTCTGTTATAAACTACTTAATAAATACTCTGCAGTTAGTGGATTTAGATACTTTGACAGTGGCCTTTCTATGGCTCAGTGCAATGTTTTTTCTCAACATTTAATCTTACCACTTGCTTACAGGCTTGCATTTATATAAGATAATTAAACTTAGGTTCTGAAAAAGAAACAGATTTCACCTACCCATACCTAAGAACATCATACCTAAATATAACTAGGAACAAACAAAACAGAGTAAGCTGAGTGCTTCCATCTCCTACCAAAAGTAATAAGGTCCAAATAAGATGGTAATAAGTCAAACTCCAGGCCTTGGCTAATCGTGCACACAGAAAGAGACCTGGAAATCTTTCAGGAATACAGAAAATCAAAGAACAACTAGAAAACTGGAAACTGGAAACACACAATTGTGATTTCTAGTTTGTCTCTTGCACATTTATTTTACTTTACCTCACTTGTTTATCTATTTGTTGGGAGTGCTAGGGATTGAACCTGGGGCTCTGGCGTTCTAAGCACCACGAAGCCACACCCTCAGCCTCTTCCCATTTATTTTACGTCACAATAAATAATGACTCGTAATTACCTCTTTCCATATCTGAATCACCACATTGGCAATGCCAAGGGCTACATAGATAAGTAAAATGCTTCATTAGTTTTGTTTGTTTTTTTGGTTTTGGTACCGGGGATGAACTTGAGTTGTTGTGCTTGCGCAGCAGGCGGCAAAACCACTGAGCTAAATCCCCGGCCCAAGCTTCATTAGTTTTAATAAAAATATATCAAGAATTTCCAGGCTTTTAGGTTAGTTGTGTCTTTACACATACATAGTATTTTCATGAAGGGCCTACTATGTTCCCATAAATGAGGATACAAAGACAAATGCACTGTGCTTCCTGTTTGCTTCAGGGAAAATCTAAACCATGAGGGGAATCAGACTGCTCATCCCCATCATTTTAAGCACCATCATTTGAAGAATATGCATGCCTGAATGTATTGCAATTCTGATTTTCAAGTATTTCACTAATATCACTTCTGAGTAAGAGTAAGGAAATCCTGTCTCTCTTCTCAGTTTGGCCTCTGAAATGCTGGAGCAGTCATTTAACCTGAGCCTCTGTAAAACTGGGATAATAATGCCCTGTTTCTACTTTTCACTTCTGAGCGATATTCCCAGTACAGCATTTAGGCAAGAAAGTGTTAATTAATGAGAGCTCTTTTACTTTCTTTGAACCTGTTGAAATGTCTGAGGTGGCATGACAACACGTGGCAGGGTTAATATATTCACATTTCATCCCTTGGTATTTGTATTAAATATTTATAACATTTATATTCGAAAACAAGTCACCTTCCTCTTACCTGTGTATTATCTGTTCACATCCAGTTTTAAGGTGAGACTGACTTCTTTCAGTGTCTCAGGCCGTTTTGAGGTGGGCTATCCCTGGAAGCTGGCATAGTGGGCACTCGAAGCTGCTGGAAAGCGACAGCTTCCCATAGACTGTGGCTGCATCTCCCACCTCCTGCCTCTTGCTCACTTCCAGAGGCTTCTGTCAGCCCCTCCCCCACTTGCTTGCCCTCTTTTCCACCCTCTGCTTCTTCTTTACATCCTTGAGCAAGGCCAGCCTTTCCTTCCCTCTCCAGTCAGCCTCACCTGCTCCTGTCACTCCCATTGCGGTCCTTTTCCTCCTACACTGTCAGTGCTTTTGCAGGAGTTGCTACCCTGGCCACCCAGGGTGTCTTCTTGGCAGCCTACAGCGCTCCTGCTTGGCGCCCATGAACAGCACCGCTGGACATGGTACCAGCAGAGACAGTGCAACACTTGTTGGCTGGTGGGTACAAGAAGGAAAACAATTTATCAGTATCACCCCGCTCCACCCCATCATTTGTGTTTGACCTCACTCTTTGGGCTTCTCAGCCTCTGTCATCATACATGAGACAGTGAGATGGGAATGTCATTTATCTGGGGTTGTGTTTTAGTGCCAGGCCTCCTTACTGGTGTGTACTGACATCAGTGTGTGAACACTGGACTGGACTGAACTGTGTGAGAGCATCTCAGCAGGTATTTAGCAGTCACCCAAGTGGGAGGACAACAGCTCTGTTTCCTTCCTGTAAGAACTCTCACCTCTAGTCTTTAAATAAGAATGAAATTTCCCATGAGGTTGATTCAGTCAAGATGGTAGCACTGTCAAGATGTCAGAAATGGTCCTAGATGAGAAGGTCCAGGGTCCTAAAAGCCAAGTAAGAAGTACTACAGAATTCATGGAGTCAGGTGTGTCTTAGTCTGTGTTGAGGGTCCCCAAGACCATGCTCAGGCTCAGAGATTCATTAGAAGGACTCACAAGACTTAGCAGAGCCATTATACTCATGCTTATGGTTTATTACAGCAAAAGAATACAATTTAAAAGCAGAAAAGGGAAAAGGTGCCTGGTGTAAATCTGGGAGAAACTAGGAACAAGCTTCCAGATGTCCTTTGTCAGTAGAGTCACATGGGTGTGCCTGATTTTTCAGGCAACAATTTGTGATAGTCCATGCCAAGTGTTGTCTATCAAGGAAGCTCACTGGAGCCCTGGTATCCAGGATTTTTATTGGGGTAGGTCACGTAGGGTTGCAATGTGTACCTATGTAACTGACCTGAGCTACTTGGACTCTGGACATCCAGGGAAAAAATAGCTATTCAACATAAATCACATTATTGGCACAAACTATCTGATCATATTGGTATTGTGTGGCCCTGGGCTTCAGGTATGCAAAATGCTCTTATCAAACAGAATACTACAAGGACTCAGAGCTCCTTTCTCAGGAGCCAATTCAGAGCCAGTCCTGCAAACACACCTTTCTTGGGAATGTACAGGCTTTGAGCAACCCAGGCTGCTGAGTTAATTCTCCTCTGCACATATTCCAAGGTCAAGACACTGGAAGGCTTTGACCAGACTTCTCACATGTCAGTTGGTACCTTCTGTAGTAGTCAGCTTCACATTACTACAACAAAATATCTGCAGTAATTAACTTATTAAAGAGAAAAGTTTCTTTTTGGCTCATGATTAGATGAGTTCAAGCCCAAGATCCATAGTTCCATTGTTTCCATCTTCTGGTGAGGGCAGCACATCATGGCAGGAGTATGTGTGACAGAAAATCGTCACATTGGAGTCAGGAAGCAGAAAGAATCCGACGCAGGTCCCTGGACTCCCTTCAAGGGCATGCAGTCAGTGACCTAAGGACAGCCCACTAGGTCCCTCCTCTACAGGTTCACAGCACCTCCCTGCACCACCACCCAGGGACTGCCCTTTGGGTACACTTGGCCAAGGTATACCACCTTCCAACAGTAACATCCTCTCTACCTTCCATATAGGATCATTGTGATTTGGAATGTCATCTACAAGGGTATTGTAAGCTATCATTGTTATTATTAGAATAATTATTATTATTCAGGGGGTGAGGGCAAGGGAATGCCCTTTATTCTTCCTATTCTCAGAACAGGTGAGAAGCGCCTCTTCCTAGATTCTGAAAGCAAAGATAACTTCAGAGCAGTGTGTTTCCACTCTACATTGGCATTTAACCTTCTCCTTTGCTTTTCTCTGTCTCCCATTTTCTGGCAGTGGCTCAGAAACCCTGGCCCCCAGCATGAGAAGCGGACTCTGTTTGGAGACATGGTGTGCTTCTTGTTTATAACCCCCCTGGCCACCATCTCGGGCTGGCTGTGCCTCCGGGGCGCCGTGGACCACCTGCACTTTAGTAGTCGGCTCGAAGCCGTTGGACTGATTGCACTCACTGTCGCACTCTTCACTATTTACCTCTTTTGGACACTAGTAAGTATGGTCTACAGCTGGGGGTTCAGGCCAGCTGGCCTGGCACACTCAGAAACTGGCACAACCCTCTCTCTTGTCAGTAGCACATCTCACCTGCCCAGTAGAAAACAGACTATCAAATGTTGGCAGGATTGAGTGATTTGGTGTATTCTTGAGAGGGAGAGAGAGAAAGACAGACAGACAGACAGCAGACGGGGGCGGGGAGAGAAGGTACACTTCAAGAACAGATCAAATAAAGAAAAGAACTGAGCTTCTGAGTATCCATCAGTGAGGCGCACCTTGATGTTTCTCTCCTCTAGTAGCATGGGACTCCCATCTGTTATGAGGCATGGCACTTTCTTTCTCTTGTTTATGTTTCTCACTTTTGCTGGGATTGTTGTATATTATGAATGATGCACTTGGCCGCTGCTGCCTGCACAGATCATGAATCCTTCCTGCCAGTTATTTTCTTCTTATGTCCTGACACAGCCTAAAGTCTTTGTTGGACGTGGAGCTACACTTTGCCTGATGATTATTCCATGTGTTGGGATATTGACTCTGCTGCCCATAAAAGCACTAATTTATCTAGCTGAGAAGCTGCCACCAAAGAAAAGCCATTCTCTGATAAGTGTTACTGCTGTATATGAGGAAGAATTTTTAAACATCATTCTTTTTTTTCATTCTTTTAACATCATGCAGTAAGTTGGTTGCTTGGGCCCCCACTGGCAGCACCCACAATGTGTGATTGCTCTATTTATGCTTCCCTGTGGGAGTTGCAGAGAAGGACATCACCTTCTTCTAGGATATTGTCAGAAGCCGGGCCCCCTGCTTCCTGGCATTACTCTCCTGTGCCAGAGCATGCTCCATTATTATTCAGTAGGCATTTCCTGTCTAAAGTGCACTGTTCCATGTTCCATATCCCTTAGCAGTGTCAGCATGTGGAAGTTGCTTCCTGGCCTCATACTTCCTCCCTTCCTCTGTCCCCCCAGCTCTGTTCCATCAGCTGCCATTCCAACAATGCTGTTCATTTCTCTCTTACTCACCATGTGGCTCTGCCGGCTCCATCTCTTCCCTCCCCTGGGAGTGTTCAGACAGTAAGGGACACATTTCAGTCCCAGGAAGAGAGCATGGCTTGAGCTCTGGTAAACTGACAATACTCTAATGCAAAGCACTTATCTATGTCTTCTGGTTATTTTGACATTTTGTTCCCAGGCTAATGAAGCCCCAGACAAAACTATCTTTGGCTCCTTTAAAAGTCTGCCCTTCCAAAGTGTGCCCTGTTTCACTGCAAATCAAGTAGTGAAGCTGATTCAGAAGCTTCTCCTGTGATGAGAGAAGGGTTAGAAATAAGAAATTAAATAGCATAATGACAGGGCTGGGGATTTAGCTCAGCAGCATAGCGCCTGCCTGGCAGGCACAAGGTCCCGAGTTCAATCCCTGGTACCAAAAAACAAAACAAAACTAGTGTAATTACGCTTACTCTCTGTCTACTGCCCCACCTGAGGAAAGACTCCTCACGTCGCTAAGCATCAGTCTCCTGTCTATGAAGTGGTGATGCTGGGAATGGCCATCTTCCCTGGTGTTATGGGAGTAAAGTGAAAGTATTCATAGGAAAATACCCTGGAGAATAATAATTAAGTCTACGTTTTTACCATATTTAGCCATTTTCTAGTCTGGGACTTTCTTAGAAGAGTTCAAATGATGAAGGATGGATGAAGGTGAGACCTGCATGCTGGGCTTTTGAAACTAATTTAAGGTCTTTTTGAAAACCTGCTTTGCAGAGTGCACATTTACCTAGCAAATAAGAAAGGGAGCAGCAGGGAAATGAAGAAGGGAAGAAAAAAACAGACTACCTAGAAAAAATGAAACCCTATTTCATTTCTCATCCCAGGTGAAAGGAAGATTTGGGTGGAATATGCACCTGGACTAGGCTGTTTTAGGAAAATAAAATACTTCATTCCAGAAATGTTTCCAAGAGGCAGTGCTGTATAGTTAAAGTGCATGTATTTAGAATCCAAAGGGCCTGTGTGTAAACCCAAGATGTAGCATCCTAATAGCTGTGTCACTTCAAGTAGAATGCTTACCTTTTACTCTCCTTCCTCATATCCAAAAATGGAGAAAATCACTGATAACCCCGGAGTCAGGGGTCAAGGATTATTTTGCAAATTAAGTGGGATAACATCAGAAAATATATATCCAAGCACCCAGCACTGTGCTGGCCCAGGGTTGTCTTTCTGTAGCTCCCGCCCTCTATAAAATGCAAAGTGGCAGGAGGGAAAGAAAGGCATTTCTCCCCTTTGACTAGTGTGAAGAACATGCTGTGGAGTCAGCTCAGCAATAGGTTACTGAATATAAAATAATTCCTTCCCAGATAAATGCTGTACTGAGCAGCCCTGGCAAGCGAAGTAATTCAGGGGCTGACAGCACTTGGAAACTGCCCTACGGCAGAAACCCATTGTAAACAAGCTGTCAAGCTTAAGGAGAATATGCTGTTAAAATGTCTTCGATAAACAAACACGGTGTCAGTCCAAGCCTGGCTCCTCAGAGGAGCTTTCCTGGAAGGACCTCACCACCCAGCCACTGGAGAGAGGGATAAACATCACACTGCACGTTTCCAAGTGCCTTTGGGCATGCTCCCTGGCTCACGGGGCTATCAGGGCCAGTCTAGATGCAAACTCAGGGAGTCCTGACCTCTGTACCCTGATGTGTTCCAGAAGCTCACCAGGGCACCCAGAGGCCACACCCTCAGCCATTTGCACCCTAGGGGAATGGTCCCCCAGAAACATCACTATTTGTGTCAAGAATGATTTGAAGGCCATGGACAGCCACAGAGAGAGCTAACTGAGAGCTGAGTCCATGTTAGCATGGCAACTCTGACAGGACTTGGTCTCAGCCTCAGTTCAAGCTGCCAGAGTCGAAGCACCACAGTGTGGGAAGTCTTTCCACTTACTGTGCCATATTGTAGCCAGTGCCCTACACAAATAAAATGAACGAATGGCCCAGTGGCTCAAAGGTGGACTCCAAGTCCCATGGCTAATCATTTAAATTCTTGCTGTGAGGGATGTGTCCAGGAGAATTGTCCCAACAAGGCTTGCTGGCAGGTGGTTCAGACACACTCCCCAGCAGCCTGCAGGCAACCACAGCGTTGGGCAGGGTTGGTTCACAACCAGTGTCCTCCTAGACAGTCCTCTTCTGTGGCAGTCAGGAAGAAGTGAACTAGAACATTGCAGGGAAGGCGATCTACCAAGCCCTGGCCCATCCATGTGCTTAAGTCATGCCATAGTTTCCCAAGAGAAAGGGGAAATAGAAAGATGTAATCAGATTTCGCAAAGCCTGCAATGACTTCACAGCACTTTCTCTACAGCTTCAGGTACGCACATCCCTGTTGAGGAGAGGTAGGTGCTGACGTTTTCTACCGCTTCCTCTCCCATCTAGGTGATGGCAATTTACTGTAAACAGACCCTGTAAACAGATAGGTTAATGTCTTTTATGTGAATAAGTGAATTAACTTCAAGAAATTCATCCCATAAATAGTATTTTAAAAACAATTGTCCTATGCCCTTTCTTCTTCCTGTCCTTAAAACTTCAGAAATCCAAGAGCTGTCTAGTTGTCTTAACATTACTATTACAGCATGTTTTAGGCTCACATTGTTTTTTCCTCCCTGCCTCTTCTCTAAATTAACCCTTTTTCTCTATGATAGTCTGGTGAGGGGAGGCAGTGTCTTAGAGTGTCTAGAGTCAAGGGCAGGCTTTAATCCAGGGCAGTTGCAGCCCTGTGGTCTCCTCTGCCCTGTACCCAACTTCTTTCATTTTCCTGATAAGGAATCATCTTCATAGTATGCTTTCTTATTGATTCAATTTGCCTGCAGACTATGGTAGTTAACAGCAATCAAACAGATTAATAAGATCTCATCTTTTTATCTACATACCCAAGGGACAGGGAGACCTGCTAAGTCATTGATTCCTGGTGCTCCTAAAAGCAGCACTTTTCAGGCTTGAATGCACATGCAAATCATCTGGGGCTCTTGTTAAAAGACACACTCTGATTCCTCACGTCTGGGTGGGACCCAAAATTTTGATATTCTAACAAGTTCCCAGGAGATGTCTCCTGCTGCTGCTCCACAGCCACACTGAGAGCAAAGCCTTAAAGGAAATAGCTCAATCTCTCTTTTTTTTTAATTTCCCTGTATCTAACATTTTCACATTTAACACATGAAAAATAAGAGGCCAAGAACATGAACATGTGTGCAAGATTCCATGCTAAGTGCTTCATATTGCATTATCTCAGATATCAATATCAGCATTTTATAAACAGAGAAACTCAAGCTCATTGACAACAAATAACCTCATCAAGTCAGGCATGGGGCTTCCAGCCCTGTGTGACTGGCCCCAGAGTCTGTGACCTCCTGTACGCACTTCTCCAGTTGCTGATGCCCAGTGTACACAGGTCTTCAACATCATGGAGGAAGGGGCCCTTGATTTAAAATCCAGCTTTCCGTTAATATTTCCAGATTCCAAACTTCTTTTATTGCCAAAGTTTTTCATTTGTACTTGTCTGCATTCCACCTCTTCCCTGCTTTGGTCCTGAACAGCAGGCTTTCCCACCTGCCTCACTTACATTCTTGAGAAGTACCAAGCATCAGTAGGGCAGAATAGATACAAGAGAATCAAGCTTAAGAAAGAAAGAGAGAAAGAGAGAAAGAGAGAAAGAGAAAGGAAGGAAGGAAGGAAGGAAGGAAGGAAGGAAGGAAGGAAAGAAGAGAGAGAAAGAACCACATGCGAGCAGGCTGATTCGTTCAGGACCTTTTAGAGAAAGCACACCTGTGTTAGTTTAAAGCTTTATTTTCATACCCAGATTTCTCTGGAACTTGGCCTGTGACATGTGCGTCTTTGCCTCAGACATTTGAGCATGTGGCCTTGAATTTCATGATCCTGCCAAGAGGGCCAACAAGCCTTTTCTGGTCAAGGTCTGCACTCTACTTACAGAAACACTGAACTGAAAGCATTGCCAGCCCATTTTCTGACCCTTGTGGACACTAACTGGGGTACACATCCTACCCACCCCAAGACAACTGGATACCCCAGGCAGGGGTGATTTGTCACTCTGAGTTCATGGGCACCTTCCTTTCCAGCACTTACCTAGATACCTGGATATACACTCAAACCGGAATCTACCTCATTGTTTTTAAAGTACAGACTCTTTGAATTTCCTGAGCAGGACATCAGTCCTCCTGAGCCTTCTCCAAAACAAACAGGCTGAGTGTCTCATTCCGATGTATTTACATAAAAAACAAGCCTTTTTAAACTATAGGTATGTCACAGCTGACCACAGGATTCACTACTTGTACTGTCAGTATTAATTACATAAAGTAAGCTTGAGTTGATGAAATTGTTACAATCAGAAAGCATAGGATCTTCATTCTTTCATTCAGCAAACTGCTGAGCAACTTCTTAAGTGCCAAGCACAACACAAGCCTCACTCAGGATGCTCCTAGAGCAAGGGAGAGAAAACCAAGTACAGTGATGTACAGAGATCTTGGTCCCATGCTCAGAGCCACCAAATACAGCTTTGCAAGTTGTCTACAGTATAATACAAGGAGTCCTTTGAGCTGTGCAGTCTCTAACCTGCAGGAGAAGATGTTAAGTCCTAGAATATCTCTCAATTAGCAGAGAACAAAGAGAGCAACCAGTGTATTGTCCAAGTTCCACAGCTGGACCAGAATGGCAGTGTATCTATTCTGTCCCAATGCCCCCAGCCAGCCTTCTTTACAGCGGATGCTTTGGGGCCCAAACACCACTACCCAAAAATAAATCCAAACTCAGAAAGAACTCATTTTCCTATTCATATCCTGATTTTGCCCTCTCTGTGGGGGAAGCCAACAAGCCCTGCCATGTTCAGACATGTGGTGCCCTGGCTGGGCCAACCTCAGGACTTGCTGCTGGCCAGAACAGTGTTGCCCGGGTTCTTGTCCCACTGTGCTACTGCTAGCCCTCTGAAGCTGTTTTTAATGAAATTTATGGCTTGAATCAATTATCTACATCTGCCTATCTACAGACCTTCTCTTTTTCTTCCTCTCCAACCCCTAGGTGTCATTTAGGTACCACTGTCGATTGTACAATGAATGGCGTCGGACCAATCAGAGGGTGATTCTCCTCATTCCAAAGTCTGTCCACGTACCTTCTAACCAGCAATCCTTGCTGGGCCTCCACTCAGTCAAAAGGAACTCAAAGGAGACAATTGTTTAATGTTCTAGTGGTTGACTGGTGGATTTGTTGTTTGGGGTTTGGAAGTTCCTGCACTGGGACCATGCACTGAGATACCCAAGCCCGTCCTTGATCTTGTGGGTCAAAGAACATCCAGAACTGCATCAGCACATCGCCCGAGCAATGAACTCCACCAGAAGAAAGCAAATGCTGTTTTACTTCAAATTGTGGATGCTGCAATCATATGATATTTGCTAAGCTGCCAAACATGTTTATTTAGCAGATACTGTATGGAATTTTCTGAACACCTCTTTAACATATGAGGAAGGTTGTCCTGCTAAGGATGCAATTCAATTCTTCCTTTTTTACTATTTCGAATATTTATATATATACATATATATATATATGTATATATATAAAACTTAGATGATAATCAAAATCTAAAAGCCAATGTAAAAACTGGTTTCTTGGTTTGGATGGTTTTATTTGGGTTAGTTTATTTGTTTCCCAGTTTATAATGTGGATTCTTTGGGGTAACTTGATAGCTTGAGTGATCTTTCCATCTCTTTCACATCCTTTATTCAAGGAGACAGCATAATGACTGCAGACTAAGTCATATTTGAAGGATGTTTTGTACTAAACCTCATGTAATTATTCAGTTTTTAAAGGGGAAAAAAGGTGTGGCAACTCTCCACACGGTGAGCTGTTTATCTAAATGTTAAGGAAAAAATTATGGTGAGAAGCACGCTCCTTTCGACTTGTTTGGTACTGACAGCTGATAGAAGCTATTTTCTAATAATAAATATCCAGTGTGTGAAAGACAAGCCCTGCTGATTGCAATACTCTTTCTTTTTTAATCCTAAAACCTGTGAGCTTCCCCAAGTAGGTTTTAAAAAGGAAAAGCAAAAAGGTTGGCGTTCCCACTCCTGTCTCATTTAGTGCATGTCTTAATTCCGCATTCGTAATGAATTGGAGGATCATTAGACATTTCTAGGAACCCTAGACCTGTTTTGCATATCAATTAGCATTCTCATTGCTCTATTGAATTTCTAGCTTGACAGGTAGATGTGAAAAAAAAAAACAAAACCCTGTCCTAGAAGCCCTGCACTTACTCTAAGACCCCCTTTGTCTGATTTTTTTTTTTAAAAAGCCCCACACAGTGCCTTTTCCCAACTATGAGCCAATTCTGTCGCAGGCAGACACAGATTTTTCTAAGCGCTTCACGTGCCCTTTATCCATCTCAGCGTTGGGGGTCACCAGTAGGCTGCTCTGTGGCCTCAGAGGACACTGGTGGGATGGCGCTGGGCTCCTGCCGTCTCCACCCACACACACTTGAAAAGGAGGGCCCAGCTTCCGGGCACGCTGAAACATGGATTTCTAGAACATGACCCACATTCTGAGTATCCAGCTATGCGCCCCACTCGGGAGAGTAAAGAGCGCAGAGGCACCGGCAGTCGAGGAGGGCGAGTCCGGTCTGCAGACTGATGGATGCAGGTGGTCCTTTGTCGGGCTGAGCCTCCATTCACAGGCTGCTCCCCACGAGGCCCGGAGACAGAAACAGCTGTGCTGCTCGCCACTGCAAAACTCAGATGTGCTTTATAGCTTGTGACAATAGATTTCCTCCCCACCACGCTTCACCTCGACACTTCAATTCCAGTAATCTACGTCTCAGCCCTTCTGTTTACGTGGCCCTGCTCACCCCTCTGGGCTGTCATTAACTGCATCACCATCAACCGTTTCTTAATTGACCTTTTTAAAATGCTGGACACCACTGGTTGTGAGCAGCTGTCACACATTAAATTTCCACAGCAAAGAGTCCGACTTGGTAGCGTGTGAACTGCACCACTGTAATATACTTGATAAATGACATGTCCACCCAGCCTGGGTCCCTGGTCTGTCAGCTGACCCAGCGACACCTCGAAACCAAATGGTACAACCTTCACTAGAGGACCACACTCCTCTTCCATGAATTACAGAATCAGGATCGGTTCCTGTTTGAAGCTGCCTGCAGAGAATTCCTGTCTTGGGTCAGGAGATGACGGAGATGACATAAAGATACTGCCTGTCAGAGTCCTGGGCAGCTCCCCAGGCTTCCATGCCAGGAAGGGTGGCCCATTCATACTGTGTCTGTGATGTGTCTCTTTACCCCAGATTTGCATCCCCACCCTGCCAGGGGATGCAGAGTCCAAGCTGCACGTGGATAGTGGGCAGGCCACCCCTGGCAGCCAAGAATCCTCTCACAAGCTACGAGCTGGACCTCCTTGTGAGACGCTGTGATCTCTGTCAGCACCACAGCCCATCTGGGTTCTGGGCCGTCCAGATGACAGTCCATCCCCTTGATCTTTGAACCCCGAGGTCCTTCAAGGTAGCAGAGTCTAGGGAACCACAATGCAGGCACCAGGACACCCCGCCAAAACACAGGGACAGGTGGGCCTGCAACCCAGCCTCTGCTCCTCTCTTCCCTGCCGTTGACATGGAAAGGGCTGGGTCCTCCTGAGGAAGGGCATCCATTGCTAATTGGCAAGAGGGTGCCCTGTGAATTACCAGCCACCTTGCTAACTTGGATTCTTCCTTTGCCTCTTTGCTTTTGAAAGGTCAAGAGTGAGTGCATGTGTCTCTGAATGTCCTCATCTGGTAAAAGGACAGAGGACCCAGAGCAGCTGCACAAATTCTACAGCTCCACAGAGAACTGGGCAGACTCTCAGAAGAACTGTAAAATCCAATTAAGGAAAACTAAATGGCATGATTTGGAAGTTACTTCAATTTGTCTTTTGTTGTCCTGGTTCTCTCCTGCCCCAAGTACTGAGGCTTTGCCACAGATTGTCACTTTCAGCTGAGCTGTGGCCACAGTCATTTCATTTTCAGTGAAAGTAACTCATCTAGGGCATGGAAAAGACAAAGGAGAAAATGTAAGTGAAACCGCAGTTCAGTCAACTGGGCCCTTCAGAGAGTAGCCAGCAGCAGGCCCCACTTCCTCGAGGGCCGCTGTTTCCCTCTGGCCACTGGCTTCTGGCCAGCTCTGGGTCTGAGCCTGCGCCACACCTCTGGCCCTCCTAGTTGAATTCTGCCAACAGATTACAGAGCTGCCCACACTCAGAATATCCAAAATGGAAAGAACCCGAGGAGAAGAGAGCTAGGAAATGAGATTGCAACTGCTTCCTCCCTACTTCAGTGGAGTTCTGAGAAGCTGCCTGAAGGTCACCCGCATGACTTGTAGTCCCAGGTGCTAGAGAAGGCAGAGCTTCGATTCAGAAGCCTGGAGTAGGATGGGATTCCAGCCAGCAGGTAGGGACAGGGTTAGGGATAACTTTAGAAAAAGTAGGTATGGGCCGGGGATTTAGCTCAGTGGTTTCGCCACCTGCTGCGCAGGCGCAAGGACCCAAGTTTGATCCCCGGTACCAAAAACAAAAAAAAGCAGGTAGGGGTCACAGTGGACCTGGCTGGACATCATCCTTCTTAGCCATACACATGGAGGCTCTGCTGCTGCCCGGAAGCCTCGTGAGGCCTGGTGGTGCCAAGGCTGGAGTCCTGAGAAACTGACACTCCAGGTACTGATGGCTGGGCAACTGCTGGCTCTCCGAATGTGTCAGTCCTGCAGAAACACAAGGGCTGCCACTCACCTTTTGGGCTTCACAATAGTCTGTGTCTAGAAGTTGGCTTTGTGACATTTTGCTTTCACTTTTCAGTCATTCTGGCATGATTCTGGCTGCTTCCCCAGTGCAGCAGGAATGAAAGAAAACCAGCTATGGAGTCAAGACTACCCAAGTTCAGATGCTGACTCTGCAATATCCCACTTGCCAGTTGTGGAAAAATGATTCACCCATCTAAGCTTCAGCTTTTGCCTCTGCAAAATGGAGACATCATCTATCTTAGCTATCTATAAGATCTGCAAGTCTTAGCTCCCTGCAGTTCATGAATGAACAGTGGTACTCTGCTCTTTCTTGCTTTCTGTGCTTTGTTGCTACCACCTGGGTTATTTTGTCCTATCCTGAAATTCACCAAATACTTTTGATAATCAATCTTGTGTTTTGTTTCATTTTGTTTTTGGTACCAGGGATCGAACTCAGGACCTGGCATTTGCAAGGCAGGCGCTGGAACCACTGAGCTAAATCCCCGGCCCTACTTTTGATAATCAATTTGAAAGACCATAAGCAAATTGTTTTAAATTCTTTTCAAAAAGAAGAGAGGCTATTTATTGAGCATTGTGTGTAGGAGCAAAAAGAACTATAAAAGACCCCTCTGAAGGTTGAAATTATTGACTTGTTTGAAATCTTTGCATTCTGTGTAGATTTTGTTTTTCCTTGAATTTCCTGATACTGGAGTGTATGGCTAATTGAGAATTCATTGCAGATAAAAATTTGCTAGTTCTGAGTCTAGTGCTACAGAGGAAAACAAATGTAGCTCCTCAGCTGTCTGTGTTCCCAGAAATGAGGGACCCACGAGCCACTAAAACTGTTCATCTGGGGCCTTCTTGGAGGTTCTGGTTCCATGCATGGAGACAAAAGAAAGAGAGTCGGTTTGGGGAGCCTAGTCTGTTTGGAAACACTCATTTTTTCACCTTCCAGGGTCAGAGTTTCCCCATCAAGGAAATGAATAGATAGTCCCCAGCAGAGATTTTACTTAACCATAATTGTGAATATCTGGGGGCAAAGAATTAAGTTAATCATATATTTTGGTCCTAACACAATTTCTTCTCTTTTTCTTTCTCTCTCTCTCTCTGCAGGGAGAAGGATTGGGAGGCATAAATTTTTTATCTTATCTGCTTTACCTTACACACTACAGTTCCCAGTCGTGGGCATCCAGATGCTGTATTAATCACCCTTCTCGCCTTGGATTTGTTTCAGGGTATTACTATGGAGACATCCATCAGTGTATTCTCTATAATCGAAGAGCAAATTTTTACTGGCTTATTATAAAAGATATTACAAAGGAGATTGATGAACACCTGCTGAAGAAACACAGGGCATGGTATGGAAGCGGCAGTGAGGATGCTCCCTGCCCTTTAGAGTGTGCCACCTGCCAGGACCTCCCAGGCTCAGCTGTCCAGAAGTGCCCTGCCACACACTCTGTCACCATTGCTCTGGCCAGGTCCATGTCCTTTTTTATTCCACAAATAAATATAAAGTGTCAGGCACTTCCCACAAGCCATCAGCCATATAGCACTTGAAATTTTTCCTCTTTTAATCCTCGTAACAACTTTTTAATCTATGGCTATAAACACAAAACTCAGTGATCTAAGACCACTTAATCGAATCTCACCATTCCATGGGTCAGTCAGCTCAGGCCCTGCTGGGCAGTCTGTGGCAGCACCTCTTCCAGTGGTCATATACAGTCATATGTATGACACAGGTACTCCTCCATGTGGCCTGTCTCTCTGCACAGCATCTCAGCTTTAAAACGTCTCTCTACCCATTGCTGCTCAGGAACCCAAGAAGAAAGACTTCTGTCCCTTTCATGCATCCTGGGCTGGCAAATCCCAGAGCAGCACTTTCTCTGCACCCTATTGGTCAAAGTAGGCATAGGCCCTGCTCTTGTGTGGGGAGCCACTCAGACAGGGACAAAATGGTTTGAGCCAGTTGTAGCTCAGCCACCAGACCCTGTTTATGGGTGGGAACATTTAACTAGAGAAGTAGTTACTTGCCTGTAGCAGAGCTAATAAGAAGCAAAGCTGGGATTCAGACCTACCTCAGGAACCTATGCTCCTAATCCCTGTGCCACATGCCTCTAGTGGGCACTTTCAAATATTTCCCTTCATTTCTAATCTCCATTTTGCTTCCTTTGTGAAACACCCACTGTACTGGTTGATACATGACCTGAATTTGTACCTCTGTATACTGTTTTGTGTATATCTTAATTTACATAAAGGGTCTTAAACTTTTCACTTACTGTGTTTGCTTTTTAATTAATTTTATTGGTACATTTTAGGCATACAATATGACATTCAACATTGGAGATTTGTACCTTTACATAATATATCTTGATTCTTATTTTTCCCCCTTCCCCTGCCCTCCCTTCAAGCCCTCCATCTGTCTCTATTTACAAAGACTTTGTTTCCGTTTTTTCATTTTCTGTTAATTCCATTCCCTTCTTTCCCCTACCCCACTTTCCCTTCCCCTTTGCACCTTTTCTTCCTATTTCACATTATCTATTATACATTTTGATCCTTATTCACTTACTGTGTTTTTAAGAGCTCTCGTTGCTTCTAAAGGCTATCAGTGATCCATTTTACCTTTCTGTTCCCTTAAGGTTGTTGCCTTCAAGTCCCTGACCCACTCAGCAGTGCTGTGGCAGACACCTTCCCACACATCTCCATAAGGACCTCCTGAGGAGGTTCTCTGGATTAGTATCCTTTAGGGGGATGCAGGTTATAGATGTTGACATATTTAACTTCACTCTTTTTGTATTCTCCAGGATTATAACTCTTTAGATGCCCACTGTAAGTGGTCGAGTTTTCCCATTTCTCCATATCCTTTCCAACACTAGCTGCTATTTATTTGTTCACTTTTCTATCTGATAGTATAATCTTGGGTCCTATTATTTATATCTGTTCAAATTTACATTGTCTGCTTCTAGTTGAAGTCCTTGTCTTTGTTTGTTTTGTTTCCGCAGTCATTTTGATGTGCTAAAATTTTTTGTTTCAATTTTCTTAAATGTGTCTACAGTGTGCTTTGTTGAATACAGATCTTCAACTCTGACATAATCAAATCTAGGTTTTGTATGATGGGTGATGTTATTTAAATTTAAGTTCTGTCTCATTCCAGAATCACAAAGATTTTCCTCACATTTTCTTCCTTAGCTTTAAGTGTAATCTTTCACTCTCAGGACTTTAATCCCTCTCCAGTGTACTCTGCAGCTCCCCATGGGAGGCCATTTCCATCACCATGTGCTAAACAGTCTCCCTGGTCTTCCACTGCAGTGCTGCCTGCGTCTGTCCTGCCCACAAGAGCGTAATCTGTCCAGGGGTGTTCAGTGTGGCTGTGGTCTGTGTGTCTGTCCTTGCACTGCCTCACTGAGCTTCCTCCTATGGTTTCATAGCACATCTCAATCTCCACAGGAATGAACATGAAAGCAGCTTCACTCTTCAAAATTAACTTAGTTATTTGTGATCAAGCTTTTTATTTTTGTGTAGAAAGTTTAGAATTGGCAAGTTATTTAAAGGTTTGGATGGAATTTTTATTGGAATTGAAGTAAATTTGTACATTTCATGAAAATTGATGTCCTTATCATTTTTAGCGATCTCATATGATGACCAAAGCATATCACCATTTGCTCAGCTGCCTTTTATGCCCTGTAATAGAACCTTAACCTTTGTCAATAAAATTTTTGTGTGTCCGTGACAGCTTGCTTCCTGTTTATTTGTGGTACTGGAGATTGACCCCAGAACCTTTGCACTGAGTTACATCCCCAGCCTTTTTGGAATTTTTTGAGACAGGACCTTGCTAAGTTGTCCAGGTTAGACTCCAACTTGTGATTCTCCTGCCTCAGTTTTCCAGTGTCGGGATTAGCGGTGTGTGCCACCACTTTGGCTACTTCCTAAATATTTTACAGTTGACATCGCTACTATAAATGATGCCTTGTATTGTGATATTTTAGTTGGTTAGCGCTGGTGGAGAGGAACACTAGTTGTGCTGCATCTTTGCTGACTCTGTTCTCATGGTTTGATGATCCTGACAGTTTGTGCAGAACAATCCCACTGCAGCCATGTCAGCTGGTGCGTTTGCTGATTTTCAGGCCTAGAGCATGTCCAAAGTTTCTCCCACTGTAGTATTTGCTCTACATTTTTCTCCTCGTTTCATTAAATTACTCTATTTCCTTTCTATTTTTAATATTCTGACTTCTAAAAAATTATTTTAAATAACATTTCATTGCAATAATTAAATTTCATTAAAGTTCTACTTTAATTCAGTGTAGTAAGAGCCACCAATACTGCACCATTCTTTCATTCCTGGATAAATTCTAATAAGATGTTCTATATCTGTCTATCTATATTAAAAAACAAAAGAGTTCATATTGATGTGACCAATCCCAATTCCAGAGTTCGATCTTGTTTTATTTCCATTTCTCTATTTGTATTAACCTTTCCTGACATTGAGGGTCCTGGCTTTCATTGCTCTGGTTCAGTTCCATATTAACCAATCCCCCTGGCATGTGAGAAGCCTCCCACTCCACAGGGACCACCTCTCCCCTCTGCATGGAGCTGTCCTCACTGCTGGGACTCGGATACCCATGCCAGGCCACCTCTTTTTGGGGACACCTCCTCCAATGAATGTTCCTCACCTTCGTTCAGTCTGTAGTAGTTTCCCTTCTTTTGGTGTTCTGCTTATCTGTATCTTCTCTTTTACTCCTTTGTGTTGCCAGTGTGGGTGGTGTATTCATCCAGTAATCTTTTTGTTTTTAAAATTTTCATAATTTTGATGTATTCCTAAACATGGGCTTCCTTTTAACCCTGAACTACTCTGGGAAGTTTTCTCATAATCAAAATGTTTCATTTGAGGATTCATACATACTGATTTTTAAACTTTACTAGTAGTACATATATGCAGTATACAATGGTTATATTCAACACAGGGAGTCAGCATGCATACATAAAACATCTTAACTCTTTTCATATGCTGTTTTGGCTTGTGTCTAGATGTAGCCCCAACACCTCATGCGGTCTTAGATGGGGCTTTTTCAGAGATGGCTGGATCTAGGGTGTGTGATGTTGGGATTAAGGGTATGTGATTACTAAATCGGTCGACTGATTGGTTTGGCATTGCCTTGATCCCAGGAGCCTAGAGTATAAAAGGGGCAGAAAGATGCTGTTAAAGTCTCTTGCTTTGTTGCTTTTGCTGTCTTAGGTGCACCATAAACTGTTGCCCCTCTGCCATGCCACCCTGGCTTGGAACCAGCCAATTATGGACTGAAACCTCTACAAACTGTGAGCTAAATAAACCTTTCCTCCCTTAATTTGTGGGTGTTGAATATTTTGTCCTAGCAACGAGAGGAAAGTAACTGAGACATATGTCTTTTCCATTCCCTTCCTCCCTCCCTCTCCTTCCATCTCTTGGTTCCCTTCCCTTTTGCAAAAGTTCTAGCTCCTGGTTTCCTATTATCTAACTTTTATTCTGATTTTAAATTATTGGGGGGGTCTATTTTTTGTTTGGTACCAGGGATTGAACTCAGGACCTTGCTCTTGCGAGGCAGGCGCGTTGCCACTGAGCTAAATCCCTGGCCCGTGGCGGGGGGCGGGGGGGGAGGGTGGTTCTCATAGGAGAAACCATGTGATTATTTAAACTTGTATGTCTGAATTTATTTCACTTCAAGTAATGGCCTTAAGATATACCCATTTTCCTACAAATGACTCAAATTTATCCTTCCTTATAGCAGAGTAGTACTCCATTGTGTATAAATACCACATTTTATTTATCTATTCGTTGGCTGATGGACATATAGGCCACTTCCAAGATTTAGCTCTTATGAGTTGTGCTGCTACAAACATGGATATGGATGTATCATTATAATATGCCTTTAAATTTCTGGGAAAGATACCTAGAAGGAGGATAACTGGGTCGAATAAAATTTATTTTTACTTTTTTGAAGAATTTCCATACTGATTTTTATAATGGTTGTACTAGTTTACAGTCCCACCAACAATGTAGTAATATTTATCTTCCCCCAGAGCCTTGCCAGCATTTGTTATTATTTGATTTCTTCATGATAGCCATTCTTTCTGGAGCAATACAAAATCTCAGTATTGTTTTAATTTGCATTTCTCTAATGGCCAGAGATGCTCACCATTTTTTCTTGGAGTACTTCTTCTGAGAAGTGTCTATTCATTTCAGTAGCCTGTGTTTTAATTTGGTCTTTTATTTTAAGGGATCTGGTTTTTTTTTTTTAAGTTCTTTATATATTCTAGATATTAGTCCTCTGAGGAATAGCAGGCAAAAATTTTCTCATTTGGTAGGTTGGCTTTTCACTCTGTTGGTTGTTTTCTTTGCTGTGCAGAAGCTTTTTAATTTGATATAATCCCATTTGTGGTTTTTTTGGTTTTGGGGGGTTTTTTGGTACCGGAGATTGAACTCGGGTCCTTGCACTTGAGCAACAGGTGACGAAACCACTGAGCTAAATCCCCGGCCCGATATAGTCCCATTTGTTGATTCTTGATACTCTTTCTTGTGCAACTGGGATTGTTTAGAAAGTCCTTGCTGATGTCTATGTCTTCAGAACATTTACCTGTTTTATATTCTAGCAGATTGTGTTTAATACTTACATATTTGATCCATTTTGATTTTCATTTAGTAGATTGTGAGATATATGGGTCTAGATTCAATCTTCGGCATGTGGATACCTAGTTTTCCCAGCATCATTTGTTAAATAAAGAGGCTATCTGTCTTCCAGCATATATTTTTGGCTTCTCTGTCAAAACTCAGATGCCGAGGGCCAGGGATTTAGCTCAGTGGTTCCGGTACATGCCATGCAAGCACAAGGTCCTGAGTTCAATCCCTGGTACCAAAAAAAAAAAACAAAACAATCAGATGCTGAATATCCCTGGGGTTCTGCTTAAGTGCTCACCTTACCTGGTATGTTCATTCCATTAGACTTTTTGGCATTATTAGCATCATTCTCTTTCTAGGATATCATTAAGAATTTTTTGGAGTGCTGGTTTGGTGGACATTAAATTGCTTTTTTTTTTCATGGACCTTTCTCCATCAACTTTGAAAGGTAGTTCTGCAGTGTATATCAGTTTAGGTTGGAAGTTGTTTTCTTTTAGGGCCTGAAACACTTTCTTCCAAGCTCTCCTGACCTTTAAGAAGAGAATATTGAGAAGTCTGTTGTAATTCTAATGGATTTATGTTTGTAACTGATTTGTTTCTTTTCTCTAACAGCTTTTAAGATTCT